ACTACAGCCCGGCCGGCGCCAAGCTGTTCCGCTCCAAGCGCGAGATCCTGCAGCACCTCGCCGCGGTCGCCGACGCTGAAGAGGCGGCCGAGGAGGCGGTGTCGGCGGCGGTGGCCGCGGCGGCAGCAACGGGGGCCGGGGCCGGGGCGGCGGGGGCGGGCGCGACCGGGCCGGCGGCCAACGCTAGGACGGCTGCTGCTGCTGCTGGCGGCGGTGCGTCCGCCGCCCCGAGCGCCGGCACGAGCGCCGCGGCTCCCGGCGCGCCGCCGTCCGGGGCGCCACCGCCGCAGCAGGCGGCGGCGTCATCGTCGGCGGCCTCGTTGCCGTCGGCGGCGGCCGCGGCCGCGGCGACCCCCGGCACGCAGGAGGGCCGGGCCGCGGACGCGACGGAGGAGCTGCGGCGCGCGTGGGCGGAGCGGAGGCAGGCGCAGGCCGCGTGGGCGGAGCGCATCCGGAGTGTTGCGCGCGAGCGGGCCGCGGGCGGCGCGGCTGCGGAGGAGGTGGCGGACGGCCACGCGTCTTGAGGTGTTGAGCGTCTGGCTTGTGTGTCTGTGTGACGCTCCAGTGTGACCGTCCCTCCGTCTTGCGTACGGGACCCCTCGATTCTGCCTGGTGCCCTGGGAGGGGCCGGGGGAGAGGAGGGGCCGGGGGAGAGGAGGTGCCGCGATCTCGTACTTTTAAGGGAGGGACGCTGGGGATTCTCAAAGGTATACCCTTGTGGAATGGCGGCCGGATCCAGCCTTAAAAGTACGAGATCGCGCGCGCTTCGCGCACAGCACCGCCTGTTCTCCGCGGCTGTGTGACGACGCGTGCCGTGTGCCAGCAGAGTTGGGCGCGCGCGGCGCGACGGCGCCGGCGAGGGAAGGCGCGGGTGCAGCGGCCGCCGGCGGTCGTACCGCTCGCTGGCCAGCGCAGCAGCGGACAGCGCAGCGGCCGCCGGCGCAGCAGCCAGAGCAGCCGGTGCGCGCCTTGCGAGGCGAGTACTGCCGCCCGGCAGCCTTGAGGCGGCCAGGCGCGGCAGTATACTCGTTCGAATGTTGCGAGCCGTGCGCGCGCCGAGGCGCCCGCGGCGCGCGCCCGCCCGGCTGCCAGTAGGAGGCGGCGCAATATGGCCTATAGTACAGCCCTTGAGGAGGAGGAAGAGGCTGGCTGGCAGTGCTGTATGCCGCTGAGGGGCAGTTTTGGGGTGCTGACCCACGCCCAGGGGGCTGCAGAAGGCGTCCGCAGCCGGGACAACCCGCCCCCCCAGCCGAGGCCGGTCGAAGCCCACTTTACCACAGCCATGAGGAGTCCTCTTGGTGCTCCTGGCGGCCGTTCAAAGGTCGGGCGCGCGCCGATGGGGGGTGGGTGTGTCTTGCTTGCTCCACACCGAGCGCCATCGGTCCGGACCGGCGTGGTCACCGAGGGTCGGCTTGCACAAGGTCTGTGCCGCGGGCGCTCGGCGCCAAGTGCAGTGTCACGCGCGCGCGAGCGGGTCACAATGGAAACCCTCGTTTCCTATGAACTCGGTCCCCCAACGGAAGAGGCCTCGCTCCTATTGAAACACTCCAACATCAGATTTGCCTCGTGCGTCCCTTTTAAAGCTATTATCTTTTGGGTCCTGTGGGCCCCTTATCATACTTAGTCGGCACAGGCGCACGTCCCCGCAGCGCCACCAGCACCTGTGCCTGTAACCTGCGAACGCGCCGCATATGCGCAATCTCCGCGCATGTGCGGCACTCGCAAGCCTTTCACTCCTCGCAAGGGCCGAGGCCGACGCGGCCAGCTTCGGCCTCGCCTTCCTCGAGGCGAACGCAGAGGCAGAGGGCGTGGTAGTCCTGCCCTCGGGGCTGCAGTATCGTGCTCTGGCTCACGGCGGTGGGGAAACGTCACCTGCCGTCGACTCGCCCATCGAAGTTAGCTGGGAGGGCTTCACCGCGGCCGCCTTCAATGCGACACCTCGTGGCGCACCCTTCTACTCGACATACGCGGGTGATGGGCCAATGCCACTCACGCCGCAGGAGGGGGTGAGCGCGTGGGAGGAGGCGCTCACACTCATGGGCGAGGGCGACAGGTGGGAGCTGTTCGTGCCGGCCCAACTCGGCTACGGCGAGGACGGCATGGAGGGCGTCGTCGAGAAAGGAGAGGCGCTCGTGTATGTCCTCGAGCTCGCCGTCATTGAGGGTGAGAGCAAGACCACTCCGCGGCGATCGCAAGGAGAAACTCGCCGCTCATCGGGCCCAGCAGTGTGCGACACGTGGCGCCTCCACTAGGCGAGACCCCGAGGCGGAACTCCGCGCGGCCGAGGAGGCGCTCGAGGCGTGGGACGACCTCGACGGAAGCAGCGGCGGGGTTGGGTTGGCGCGCCTCGACGGCGTGACGGAGCTTGACGATTGGTGCGCTCGGGCGCCGCCGCGCCCGCTCGTCCTCGCACAGCTGCGCCTGCCGCTCGCAGGCGCCCAGCACGTCCGCCTCCCAATGCCCCTCCCTTCCCTCCCCTTGCCTTCCACGACACCCACGCCTTCCCTTTGCCTTTCACGACCATCGCACCTCGTTGTCCACGACCATCCACGACACACCCACGACACGACGATCACACCGTTTTGACAAGCCTGCGACGATCTGTGTCACAGGAGTGCTGCTCGCCGCGTTCCTCGAGTCCGCAGCGGCGCACGCAGGTCAGGAGGCCTCATACGCATACGCCGCCGACTCCTTCTACCTGCCCTCGCCGCTCGAGCAGTACCTCGGGCTCGCTGCGCCCGCCATCTACGTCTCTTTCAACCGCGGCGCCTCCTGGGATCGCTGCGCCGCTGGGCTCGAAACGCCGGCGTGGAGTCACGCGCCGCTCATTCCCCTCGAGCCAGGCACAGACGCCGACGGCAAGCCAGCGCCGCCCAGCGTCGCGGCGGTGCGCGAGGCACTCGAAACGTGCGCATTCGGACGTGCGCAGCCGCATGGGGACGAGCTGTGAATGGCCGGACGGCGGTTTCGGTGCGATGTAGTAAGAGGAATCCTCCGTGTTCCGCGGCGTGTTCCTCACACACAGGGTCACAGCTCAGGCCTCAGCACACTACACAGGCTCAGCGGAGAGCGGTCTGTTGTTCGCCATGGTTGAAAAAAGGGCTAGAGGTCGCTCTACATGCACACGACACGCCCATGTTTGTACTCTAGTCGCATCTCTCTGCCGCCGTCTGTTACCATAACCGGAGTTATTGACGGCACACGACATAGTGTATCATATCTGTGCTGGCGATGGCGTAGTCCTGCACGAAGAGGTGCTCGGCGAGCAGCTGCCCACGCCACACCAACTCGTTGCCCCCCACGCGCCGCCTTCCAGCCGTCGCGGCATCCACGCCAACCAGCTCCTCGGCCAGCCCGTGCAAGTCAGCGATCGAGTGGTCGGGGAAACAGCGGAGGAGATGCACGATCTCGACACCCACCGCGGAGCCGCCGGCTGCGTCGGCTGCGACCACCGCGGCGGCTTCGGAGGCTGCGGCGCTGGCCGCGCCGCTCGGCGCCGGCGGCGCGGCCGGGTCGTCGAGAGCGACGAGGAGGTTGTGCACCTCGTAGGCCGGGTCTGTGCGGAGGTCGGAGACGGAGACGGTGAGCACATCGTCCACCGAGCGCACGCCGCGGAGCCAGCGGCCGCGCGGCGCGGTGCCGGGTCCGGTGCCGTCGCGGATCTCCTCAAACGCTCGGACGACGGCGGCAAAGCGCTCGGCGGCGCCGGGGTCGTCGCCCGCGACATCCGGGTGCAGCGAGAGAGCCAGCCGGCGGAAGGCTCGCTTGCACTCGTCCAGTTCCTCGCCGCGCCTGACGCCGAGCACCGCCCAGGGGCTGGGAGCAGCGGTGCCGAGGAGCCGTCGCGCAGCGAGGCAGGTCAGCATTACGCCCAATCGGCGAAGGGAAAAGAATTTTGATCGGACACACTATGTAAGAATTTCAGTGCGAGGTGGCATGAAGGTTGCAGCGAGAATCGGCGAGAGACTGCGAAGAGAGATAGGAAGAGGCAGACTCCCTAGGGTGGGCGACGGATAGCGCACCACACACCTCTCCTTAAAATCCCTGTGTGGTGGCGGCGTGCCGTCCTCCCATCCCTCCCTTGGGTTGTCTGTTTTCTTTCTTTCTTTTTCAGTGCGCCTCCTAGGAGAAAAGAAAATCAATCAAGAAAAAAGACGGAGTACAGCTGAAGAGTCCCCGGGGCCCGGGCTAGAAGGGGGCCCGTGAATCTGCAGCCGTGAACATCTTTAGCTTGTGAGCCCTCGAAGTGTGAGCCAGGAAAAGGGTTGAACGAAGTCAAAAGCTCTGTGCAAAGCTGGAAAATGGCCTCACACTCAAATCTGTCTCACACAAAAACACGCTCGGACAGCGGCGTTGCGCGGCTCAAATGGAGAGTCTTGCCGTACGGCGTCTAGCGACATTTCTACCCGCCTCTGGGCTCTTGTCGCGACAGCTTGTCGTGCTGGCAATAGCCTTCGGGGCCCGCCTGTGCGTGCTGATCCCCTCTGTGGCACTCCTTGTGTGTGCCGTCCGCCGCAAGCACGAGCACATGCAGCGCGAGGGCGTGCAGAGAGGCGCACGGCGGCCAGCTGGACGGCGGGCGCCGCGCACGCGCCTCCATGGCTCGGAAATCGACCTGTTGCCTATTAACACAGCCGGCGTGAGCGGTGAAGAGGGCACGGGGCCGGACTTTAACACAATCGGCGATCGCCAGTCAGCGCCGCCGTACAGGTAAAGGTGCTTTGCGTGGTCACAGGGCTTACCCCGTGCCCCTCCGGTGCGATTCCGGCCGCAGCCGGTGTGCAGCAGACTGGTCTCGAGGTAAACGCGCCGTGGAGGCAGACAGAACGGAGGGGCGCTCAGATCGAGCTCGACGCGGCTGCTGCCCGCGCGCGCCATCGGGGTGTTTTGCGAGTCCGGGTAGGAGCCTGACGAGGCAGGGCCGGGCTGAGAGCAGAGAGCAGAGGGTATCATAGGTCCAGGAGGAGCACAGGGGAGCCAGCTAGCAGAGGAAGGAGTGGTCCAGGGGAATAGCAAAAGGGTGAGCAGACCGATAAGAAGCCACTTTGCCGCTGCGCGCGAGAAGGTGTAGAGTCCGCGCGCAATCTGCTGGAGTGTGTTGTGCTGCAGGCCGTCCCTCGACAGCAAGAGGTCAAAGCCGGCAGGCAGCGCAGCCTGGCGGTCGCTGAAGTCTACGACACTGAAGTTGGCCTCCATGCCCTGCAGTGGAGAAGTAAGGTCCCGCCGCTTGCGCTGGTGTGACTCAACCAGAAATGGGACGATGTCCGCTCCGTGGTACCGGAGGGGATGGTTTGCGGCGCGCAATGATGCAAAGAGGGCCTGCTGCCAGACAAGCGCGCCGCAAGGGATGTCGAGCATTGAGTGCACGCCGAGGGAGCGGATTAGCGCAAGCAGGACCCTCCGAAGTGGGCCTAGAGGTAAAGTTGAGCATTGATGGACGATTTTTCACACGAACTAAGTCGGTGTTTCGTATCAAGAATACTCATGCACTCACGGGCGCGACACCGTTTGCAGCCGTCTGCTCAACTGCTGGTGCTGCGTTGGTGCGTTGTGTGCCTGTTCGTGTTCCGTGCTCCGCGCATGCCTGTGAATCCAAGCGTTGAGCCCTGGCCCGAACCGCCGCCGACGCCGCCCCACTTGTGTCGGCGGTAGACATTGGCAAAGGAGCTCTGCGTCGTGGGGTCGAGCGCAAGGCGCCGCCCGGCCTCGACGTGCTCGCCGTCGATCGGCTGCTTTGAGGCGCGCATTTTCGCGACAGCAGTTTTACACGTGTCGTGAAAACGCGAGGTAAAAAACACAAGCAACTTCTGTTTACTTTATGGCCCCTTCCCTGCGAACGTGCACCCCCTAAGGGCCCTAGTAGCCCGATACCGATCATCCGGCCCGCTGGGTGCGCTTCTTACTACATACTAGCTCCCCGGCCCTGGGTGGTTGGGTGTGAGTCTGAGACTGAGTGAGGTTAATGACTGCACTCCAAAGTGCTCCAATTGACGCCGCTGCTGTACCGGGCCGTGAGGGCTGGCTGAAGCGCCGCGTCGGGCGGCCGCCAGCATGCGACTTTGAGAGAAGCTCGGCCTCGTTCACAACACTCAAGAACCACCTTAATCCTTATTCATTATTATCTCATTCTCAAGATGCGCGCCCGGAAGAAAGGCAGGCGATAAATATTGATTCTCGCCCCTGTAACTATTGATATTGATTATTGACAGCATCCCCTCTAACTATTGACAATATATTGACATATTGATCGCTGATTTTAACCTCCAAAAGCACCAATGTCGACATTTGTCCCAAACATTGCCTAGATGTGGGCTGAAATCGAAAAAATCGCGAGTTCAAGGCGATTTTTAATGCGCGGTTTAAGCGATTTCGAAGCGATTTTGGCCCGTTTTTAGCGATTTAGAGCCACTTTCAAGCCATGGACGATGGACCCACCTGACGGTCCTGACCAGCCCAGGCCCAGCCTCTCCTCTAAAGCCGTAACTATTGCCATATATATTGATATTGATCTCGCCTCTCTAACTAATTAGTTTAACTATTGGAGCAATATATTCAATATTTATCGCCTGCCTTACCCGGAAGCCGGATGATATACTGTATCGCGAGATGCGATGCGCGCGCATATCCTTCATATCTGTGTAGATGGCGGGGGGTCCCCAGACGGTCTCCGGGTCCGTTTTGGACCCGGATGTCACAAGGCAACCACACACTGAGGTTGAGTAAATCAATAATACATCCGGTCGCGAGGCGCACACTCGCCGCGCACACTCGAGCGTGCGGCCGCGTCACCGCCGGCCAGCTGACCGCTCGAGGCCCTCCAGACGCGACAGCTCGTCGCACCACCGCATGTGGGCACGGCCGGCCTGCTCCTGCATGCTCGTCCGCTCCTGGCCCTGGTAGTGCCCCGCCGCCTCCATCATCTTTTGGCGCTGGGCACGCTCGTGCCGGCAGCGCTGCCGCACCTTCGCGAGCGTCTGCCGCTCCACCTCCCCCTCTGCCGTGGCGAGAGAGGCGCCTGTCGGGGGGGCAGAGCTGTCCGTTTCGAGCGATTGATCGCGCCGTCCGAGTGGGAGAGCTCGAGCGAGTTCTCTCGGCGGATCTCGGCGAATCGAATCTCGGCGGATCTCGGCGGATCTCGGCGGATCTCGGCGGATCTCGGCGAATCTCGCGCCGTCTGAGTGGAAGAGCTCGAACGAGTCGTCGACGAAGTACGGCACTCCCATGCGGAGTGTCTGCCGCTCGAGCGGCCACGGGGAGGAGGGGTGCAGCCGC